TGACAGTGGTTCCATTTTTGCTGCTGTCAACAAGGAGATCATAGTTGACACACCTGAGCTGGCTTTACCCTGCACAGCTCAGCTTCCAGAAACAACCCAGCCAGGTGTGCTGCCCAGCTTCCTGGAGAGATGTGGCAGGCTGCACTGAGCTCCGCATTGCCTTTGTTCACTTAAACTAAGTTCTGGTACCTCTATGTTGTCACGTCTTGACTCCAGTTTACTCCAAAAACAATGACAATTTTCCAATTTATAAGCGCAGACTTAATCTCTGGGAATTGTCATTGAAATGTACTCAAAATGGAAAAAGAGATCTGTGCGAAAAAAAGGTTATTTGCTGGAAGGGTGGCTGCCTGAAGAAAGACTGTCAGCCATATTATGTCTGTGTAAAAGGCATTTTGTGCAGACAGAAAACAAAAACCAAGGCGATGCACAGTCATCTAGAATTAATGAAAGTGGGTGTCGACATCTTCATAGAATCATAGAATCATTAAGGTTGGAAAAGACCTCCAAGATCATCAAGTTCAGCCATCACCCCAACACCACCATGCCTACTACACCATATCCTGAAGTGCCACATCTACACATTTTTTGAACACCTCCAGGGATGGTGACTCAACCACCTCCCACCTCCCTGGGCAGCCTATTCCAATGCCTGACCCCTCCTTCAGTAAAGCAATTTTTCCTACTATCTAATCTAAACCTCCCCTGATGCAACTTGAGGCCATTGCCTCTCGTCCTATCACTAGTTACCTGAGAGAAGAGACCAACACCTGCCTCACTACAACCTCCTTTCAGGTAGCTGTAGAGAGCAATAAGGTCTCCCCTCACCCTCCTCTTCTTCAGACTCAACAGCCCCATTTCCCTCAGCCGCTCCTCATAAGACTTGTTCTCCAGACCCCTCACCAGCCTCGTTGCCCTTCTTTGGACACGCTCCAGCAACTCAATGTCTTTCTTGTCGTGAGGGGCCCAAAACTGAACACAGTACTCGAGGTGGGGCCTCACCAGTGCCAAGTACAGGGGCACGATCACCTCCCTACTCCTGCTGGCCACACTATTCCTGATCGAAGCCAGGATGCCTTTGGCCTGCTTGGCCACCTGGGCACACTGCTGGCTCACGTTCAGCCGGCTGTCAACCAATGCCCCAAGGTCCTTTTCTGATGGGCAGCTTCTAGCCACTCCTCCCCAAGCCTGTCGCTTTGCATGGGGTTGTTGTGACCCAAGTGCAGGACCTGGCAGTTGGCCTTTTTGAACCTCATACAGCTGACCTCGTCACATCGATCCAGCCTGTCCAGATCCCTCTGCAGAGCCTTCCTACCCTCAAGCAGAACAACACTCCTGCCCAGCTTGGCGTCATCTGCAAACTTACTGAGGGAGCATTCGATCCCTTCATCCAGATCATTGATGAAGATACTAAACAAGACTGGCCCCAAAACTGAGCCCTGGGGAACACCACTTGTGACCGGCCGCCAGCTGGATTTAACTCCATTCACCACCACTCTCTGCGCTCGGCCATTCAGCCAGTTCTTTACCCAGCAAAGTGTACACCCATCTAAACCACGGGCAGCTAGTTTCTCCAGGAGGATGCTGTGGAAAACAATGTCGAAAGCCTTACTAAAGTCCAGGTAGACATCCACAGCCTTTCCCTCATCCACTAGGTGGGTCACCTGGTCATAGAAGGAGATCAGGTTGGTCAAGCAGGACATACATACTGAGAAGAATCCCAGAACCACGCATACACATTGGTTGCTACATGGAAGATAGGTGTTTTCACAGAGTTTCTTAACTTATATGTAAAGATGGAAATCTGGGACTTTTAAACTGCTTCTTCTTAAGGGGTTCCTACCTCTTTCGCTTACATTCAAAAGAAAGTGTAAGAAGTATATCTGACCTCTGCAACATCACTATGAACACTGAACTGCAATCTGGCTGTAATCTCCTTGGGAAAAATCAGCATCATGGTAAGAGTCCCATGGTTGCTTCACACAAACCTGCAACAGATCACAACAGGAGACCCAGTCTCCTTTTCTTGCTGAATCCAGCTCAGCAGCATCTCTCAGCACGTTCAGAGTGTGTTCCCTGCATTCCCTTTGTCTCAGAATCTTATTACCAAAAATCTGCTATTTCTAGTTAAATATCTTGAAAACGCATATCCAGTAATAATCTTTTTTATGTGATAATTCTAAATGCTAATAATCTGCACTGAAAATGGTAAAATCTCCTTTTGAGACAAACCAGAAACATATTGAACCATTTTTTTTCTCTTTAATAGTGCAGTTCCCTGTTTTCAAGGCTTCTGTTGGGAACTTTGCAAATGCTTTGAATAATTTGTCACCTTTGTAATTTATTTCTTCCTCAGTCTGAACAAGAGACTCATTAGTGTTTAAATCCTAAAGAAGCTTTGAAGACATATTAGTTTTGTGGCACTGTTAAGATTTCTTGTGATGCTGCTTGCTAAAACTTATCTCCATTTCCTTAAGAACAAATTGGATAAGACTTCAATCAAAATTGAGTGGAAATTGAGGTTTAATATCCATACTGTGCATAAAATTATAACCCAAAATATATTTTTGCCACCTTAATATCCTTTAGCTAATAGCAGAAAGAATGAGTGTGAAATCAGCAGTGCTGCATATTAATCCCTACACTGTTTTAATGTTAAAATATGAACTAAAAAAACCCTAGAGTCTGCTCCTGTTACTACCTTGTTATCCTGATAATTTATATGTTTCACAAAGGTTTTCAGTTCAAAAATGACAGATTTTGAGAAACTGAGGGAAACCATTAACAATGTGAACTGACTGAAAAGCTCAGGAACTTAACTGAGGAAGAAGACTGTAATTTCTTTAAATCAAAAGTCCTACAATAACACACAATCTGCATTTCACACATGGGGATACTTGTCAGAAAGGACATTCAGACTTGTATTGAACGGCCACCTAAATAGAAGCTGGCTAGTGAGAAGGAGGTCACAAGTGATGAATGAAAGTACTGATCTACAAGAAAAGTGGGATCTTGGAGGTCTGGAAGCACAGAGGTTATCGAGCAACTGCCACTGCTTAAAGTGAGGTAAATTTTGCAAAGTCAAACCAAAGAAGAGCAAGCTCTTAAGTATAAACAGAGAAAGAACAAGCAAAAAGGTAGTAAATGAAGACTTAGCCTCAGTATCACGGCAGGTTAGAGCGTCGACAAAACTGCAGGATGGACAACAGGAACACGTACAGAAGAGGAAGCCACTGCAGCCAACGATCTCTGTCCCTGAACAGCAAATGAACTAGTCCCAGAAACGGCCAGACTAGCGTAACTGACTTGAAACAAAAAGATCCCCACTCACAATCAAGTGATCCAATGATGAGGGAAACAAATGCAATGCTGTTCATTTAAAGAGGAGGGATACAATACGTGTTAATATGGAATCGTTAGTATGCAAACTGTTAAAAAAAATTTTGATGGCAGGAATTATCAAAAGCACGGAGCTATGTGAGGAAAATGGAACAGACTCCCAAGGATTGCTCATGACAGGCTAAACTGGTATCTTTGCTTGGCAAGATAGCTAATTTTTTAGACAGCAAGGATAGAATACTCTAACTAGGCTTCAGTAGAACATTCAGAGAGTTTCATCCACAACAGGATTGGAATAGAGAGTTAAATAGGCAACCAGGCAGAAGAGAAATATCAATGGTTGTGTTGGTGCAAGAACCATTGGGATGGAAGAAAGTAAACAGAGTTCCACAGAAGCAGTCCTGGAACCAAACTTCATTTAATATATTCATTTTATAGCTTGGCACAAAAATAGAAGATCAGCTAATAATACAAAGGGACTCATCTCACCTAAATCTTGTTGTCTAAAAATCAGGCTTTTACTGGAAAATAGTTGCTCCTTTCATAGTCAATGTAGAAACAGGTACCTCGGAGGGAAAGTCTGTCTAGAGATGTCTAAGATAGTTCCTTCTTTCCACTGCCTGTAGAGGAAGTCTAGATGATTTTATTAAACAAACAGCCTAATTTTCAGATAGCTAGACCATGCTGTTTAGTGGTTGGCATAACAGACATAGCTCACAGAGAAAATATTTAATTCCTGCAATTCATGAGAGTGAACTTTCTGCAGTCCATGTGTACATATGGAAGAGGTTTTGGGTTTATCTTGATCAGACTTGGTGTTCAGCTGTACCTAATGAATAGGCTCCCTACATTAACACGCACCAGTCTTCTGCTCTCCAGTGGAGGCTGCTTACTTTCAAAGGGTCCAAAAGTTTGTGGGGTGAGGTTCAGAGGCAGATCTCCAAGGCCCGAAAAGCATCTGCCTCTGGTTTGCCTTTACAATGAACTTATAGTCAGCAATACTGAGTATCAGGTGATGAAATAATAAAATACATTAGCCTTTAGTAGCCCCTGGGCAAGATTCTTACTGCTGAGATGCATATCTAGAAAGGGGATTTGGGAATTAGAACATAAATCTCTTTTCTTACTTTGTAGTTCTCAGCAATTCTTCATCTCTGAGCTTTGCATTCTCAGAACTTAATGACAGGGTGCTGCATAAGGAATTACTAACGCAACTTATATGGAGCACACCACGAACTCCAAACACAGGTGCCTTTGTTTAGCACGCCAACAACATATTCTTACATGCAATCATCAAAACAAATAAAACATGGTATTTTGAACTAGAAGATCTTTAATGGCTATTTTGTAAATAATAATCTTGTCTTTATGTATGGTTCTGTCCTGCAGTGTAGCAACTGGTGGTGTCTACTACCGCAATCCACCATGTAATCGTTGCTCACATAAAGGACTCACATCAGCTAAAATTTCAAGTTGCATGGTCCAGAGTAGGAGACACTCCATGTGAAATACCAAACGAAAAAAACGTGCATACTATCAGCTTCTTTCCCTTCCCATTGTTTGCCCCCCTTTCCACAACATCACTCATTAATCTAACACAGAAATCAGCAGCTGGGTTCTCAGCAGTGTTAAAGCTACTACAATGCTTTCTCCATACTCACTTTTGGCACATGTGGATTAAATTCTACTGCTCTGTGAATAGCTTCTACTGCATTCATCTCTGCAGTACTCAGCCCTCGCCTTGAGGCAGCCTCTGGAGAAAATCTACAAAGCAAAGAAACAAACACATCAGGTCAGAAATGCTAGGAAGAAAAAGCCAGAAATCTAGAACATGGGCCCATGTAACCAAACCGAGTCAATTTCCTATGCTCTCCAAACTTCCATAGCAAGTGGAAACTCTGAGAGACCTATTACGTCAAGGCCAATGAAAATCCCAGCAGAAGTGGAAAGCATGTTTACATCTAATCATGGCAGAAAGTCAGTTCAAACAGTCCTTTCTCTGTCACTGATCTAAATTTGATCTAGGTACCTTGCTAAGGGGCATATTCAAGGCTGAAGTTGCAGAAAAAAGAAGGAAAGAAAAAAAAAAACCAATGCCAAATTATCATTGGGAGGGTTTGTATTAAAAACGGGCTTGGAGAGGTTTTAGGGAGGTTCCCAACCCAATGCCCCTGGGTCAGGTTGGGATGGGAGCACGATGCAGCAGCAGTAGCGGGTGGTCTACTGGCCGCAGCACCATTGAGGGTAGCATGCCCAAACTGTGGGCAAATCATCTGCCCCAGTGAATGAAAAACCAGACCATGCAATCTCTTTCTCACCTCACACCCCACGGCTAACTCCAGAGCTGTACTTGGCAGGCAGACACCACAGGGAAAGCTGTGACAACCTTAGCCCTGCCCTCCCAAGCTGGAGTCGCTGTGTAGGGAGGAAAGATGTTGCAGTAGGTACTGGCGATCTACAGGACAAAAAGAATGAAAGAAAATTACTTAGATCTTGATGTGTACATACACTTTAAAAGCAAAAACTGTCAGGATGTCAGTCAAGAAAATGACTTTCCACTCTACTTGCTTTCCAACTTTAGGGAGGCATTTGACCCTCAGGTGCACAGACACAACTCTGCCTGGGATTTGTGTGAAGGCATCTGAGAGCAGAAATGGGATTTTTGAGCTCCATCTCACAAGGAGCTGAGCACCCTTTCAGAGCGGGCCAGCGCTCTCAAGTCCACAGGCATCAAGTAGATGTGCTCAGCACCTTGGAAGGTTGAGACCAATGAGAAAATTGTAACAGAAACGAGCAGGTATTTGTGTCTCTCAAAATATGAACGTCATCTACCCCTCAGAATCCCTGACATAGTAATGCTAAATCCACCTGCCGCTATTTAAGTAGATGAGCAGTCTTCTGACAGCACTTGTAAAATGACATTGCTACCAGTGCATCCACATTTATTTATTACCTTTTTGTAGTCAGGTTTATACAAAGTTGAAGAGGTTCAGCCACACAACACCTTTTAGTTGCATCTTCATTATACTATCTAGGAAGCCAAAGCTCACCCAGACAGTATACATAAAACTGAAACGAGAATTTAATTGATGCTATTTCTCTTCTTTTCTTCTTCTGTAATATTTGAAGTGCAATGTTTGATTACTGCAAATTTTTCTTATCTATAAAGTCATTTTATGAATTTATTGCAGGACTGAATTCTCCTGCTAACCCAGCAGATTGTTAGGGTGTGGGCTCAGCTAAGAGAAACCTTGAGTTAAATCAGGAATTTTGCTGGACAGTGGTTCTTATGCACTTACTTGTCAGAGACAGCTCTGGCTTTGAGCAATGCAGCTGTGTAACATATTGTTGCTGATTTTGGTAAGCTTATGTCTGTTGAAAAGAAAGAAAAAAAGTAAACATCTGAAAATTTAAAAGTCTACAGAAAGAAAAGTGTTTGATCAGTACTTCAGAGTATGCATGGCATACACAAAATCATTACGTGAATTCAGAATACTTTCTGATCTTGGGACTTGTACTCCCACGTTACATGGATTTTTAATTTTCCACCCAATATACAGGCTTTAAAACTTGTGTTAATGACCACTGGAACTTCTATTTTAGCAGCAACTGGGTTCACTAGAGAACTAATTCAAAGGGTGACATGACAGAGACATAACGAAAGAATACATTACTTCATGCATAAATGTATAGGTAACCTGGAATACAAGAATTTTTCCACAGTTCACAAAACATCGAAGTAATAGCTGAGGGCTATCTTATTCAGTCCTCTTGTTTTCACTCAGAAGCAGTTGTCAAATATGAATAAGTAAGAGCTATACAAGTTAAGACAGCTATTTAAGTAATAATGGATTTGACTTGCAAGCAAACAAACATTAGATTTACCGCAATAAAAGATCAACAGGACAATAAGGTGATTTGTCCCTTACGGAAATCTTGGACCAAAATATTCACCAGACAGTTTCTGGCCATTTTATGCTGTTTCAGAGACACACAGGTCCATAAACCTGACTTAACCAATTATTTCAACTTAATGTATACTTGTTCTCTACCAGCAGACTAGCACAAAGCATCCAAAAGATAGAGAGAAATGCTGCTTAAGACTTGAGTTATAGATTTGTTCCCACTGTTATAGAGAAGAATTGACTTCCACTAGTAATCTACCCAGCAGACACATATTATATAGTGACTGAAATATTCCAGCACTAAAAAGTTAAAGATTACAGCTAAATGGACAAAAAAATAACCACCCCCACTAAAGGCTGGATTCTGCAAACACTTCTGCACACTGCAATGTTCAGTATTATAGCTTCCTGCAGTAAACAGCAAATACTCAGCACAGTAAACACAAACCACTGGAGTAGGCCCACTGTAAAACTGAAGAGCAGCTGATCTGACTATTGTTCTAAGAAAATATCTGTCCCGCAGTTTATCATTAAAGTTGATTAGAAAGACAAAATTATCATAGAGCTTTGAAACTTTAGGTTTAAGAGAAACTCCTGATTTAGTGAACCCCAGTGCCTTGCAAGACAGGGCTCTAAAAAGGATTTAAAGTGGACGACCAAGTCATATCTCAGCAGTCACCATCCTTCACTTACTAACAACCAAGCAAAATATTGTTCTGTTAGACAGAAAACATTGCCAGAATGACTGAGGCATTTTGAAAATGCTACCTGTTAAATCCTCTCTATTGTCTTTACATGCACTTGTACTTCAAACATGAGATGTAAAGATCTTGTTGGAGGCTCCCCTATAATATATTCCAATTATAATTTCACTGGAGTATGTAATTGTAGTGACTAAAATAATTAAAATCAACAGCATGCAAAGCAGTGTGGGTGACTGATATGCTAATTACTCCACTAATAGAAGCTAGCTACAGACACAGATACAAGCACATCTCCAATGACAGGAGGAGAAAATATTTATGAGCACCTTCAGTAACTCTGCTTATACCAGGTTTTCCTTAACATTAGGAGTTAAAAGTTCTTTCCAGTAAACAGAAATGACCTTTTTCAGAACATACCAGTCTCTGTCTTTCAGTATAACGCATATTCGTCAAATCATAAATGCAGTGACAGGTAAAAGAATGGAAAAGAAAAAAAAAGAACAAGAAAACCAATTATGTGCTGTCCTTTGTAAAGCTTTCAATTGGTCATTAGAATACCTTGTTTTCCCCTTACTTGTAAGTGTTTCTCTGGGCCATCAAACCATCCTTACCTCACTGGAAATATTTTCCCCTGCATCAGTTCAAACCTTGTAACGTTGGTTTAGGATGTGACCTTTACAAAATTGTGCACGAATGACACAGAACAAGAGGTCTACCTGGAAGTCTCTGGAAATACATCTTCCCAGGCAAAAGGCAAACTCCATGTATGAAAAAAAAAAGACCAAGAAGTGAATGTTTGCCCAGACTTCTTTGAATAGTGCAGCAAGAGCACCACTTTGAATATCTCCAGAGAAGGAGACTCCACAACCTCCCTGGGCAGCCTGTTCCAGTGCTCCGTCACCCTCAGAGGGAAGAAGTTCTTCCTCATGTTCAGACGGAACTTCCTGTGCCTCAGTTTGTGCCCATTGCCCCTTGTCCTGTCGCTGGGCACCACTGAAAAGAGCTTGGCCCCATCCTCCTGACACCCACCCTTCAGATATTTGTAGGCATTTATAAGGTCCCCTCGCAGCCTTCTCTTCTTCAGGCTGAACAAGCCCAGTTCCCTCAACCTCTCCTCGTAGTGGAGATGCTCCAGTCCCCTCACCATCCTTGTAGCCCTCCGCTGGACTCTCTCCAGTAGCTCTTCATCTTTCTTGAACTGGGGAGCCCAGAACTGGACACAGTACTCCAGATGAGGCCTCACTAGGGCAGTGTAGAGGGGAAGGAGAACCTCCCTCGTCCTGCTGGCCACACTCTTCTTGATGCACCCCAGGATCCCATTGGCTTTCTTGGCAGCCAGGGCACACTGCTGGCTCATGGTTAACCTGTCGTCCACCAGGACACCCAGGTCCCTCTCTGCTCTCCAGCAGGTCCACCCCAAGCCTGTACTGGTGCATGAGGTTGTTCCTCCCCAGGTGCAGGACCCTGCACTTGCCCTTGTTGAACCTCATCAGGTTCCTCTCTGCCCAGCTTTCCAGCCTATCCAGGTCACGCTGAATGGCAGCACAGCCTTCTGGTGTATCTACCACACCTCCCAGTTTGGTGTCATCAGCAAACTTGCTGAGGGTACATTCTAACTCTTCATCCAGGTCGTTGATGAAGAAGTTAAACAAGACTGGGCCCAGTACTGACCCCTGAGGGACTCCACTTGTCACCAGCCTCCAACTAGACTCAGCGCCGCTGATGACAACCCTCTGAGTTCTGCCATTCAACCAGTTCTCTATCCACTTCACCGACCACTCATCCAGCCCAACTTTTCCATCTGTTTGAAGGAGCTGGAAACTAGGAGGAATCAAGTGGTCTGCAGTATATAACTGATGTAGCAGAGGAGAAACAGTTGTTATGTCGATGAAAGCTGCTGGCTCAATTTCATCAAAGAAAGCAGGTACATCAGCAAAAGCCAGAAAGGTAGCAAGAAAACAGGAATTCAGCCATTAATACTCAATCCATGAGGTTAAACAATGAGACCACTCAACACACAAAACCCCTCTAATCACATGAGTCATTCCTGCAGAAGATATGGGATTTCTCAAGGAATATACTGTTCAAATCTGATCACCCGTGGACAAGAACAACAAAATCAAACAGAAAGACTGCATTGTTTTTGTAACAATCCAAATGAAATAAAGTCTGAGAGAAGATACAGCTGTTCCCCACACATACCCACAAGGAACACCAGGAAAGGAGAAAGGCTGCTTAGGTACAGGATAAAGTTGGCACAAGAATAAACAGCTCACAATTTAATTTAGGCTGGAGATTAAAAGAAGGTTTCTGAGAAGTGTTTTTTTGAGGCAGATTTCCAAGTAGAATAGTGGGGCAAACAAAACAGCTAATTCTAGGATGGAGCTTGCTCAGCTCAAGGAAGGGGTAATATCGTGTAGTGAATGCAACAGCGGGGGACCTGACTCACGCAGGAGGCCTCTTCCAGTACTGTGCTCCTAATGAGCAAGCAGCAATTATTAGAGGATAATATCTACAGTCCCTTGGCAATGGAAGAAATACATATAAATGTTCATGTTTATGTTGCTGTGGAGATAGCCCTACGTAGGTCCATGCCTGCTTCTCTCCAAAAGTGTTTTGCTTTTTGTTTGCTCCATATTAGACTGCAACTATTTGGTTCTGCTATATCCTACAATACTTCAAAATCCTCATGTAATTTAGGCTTCACCTCCAAAAGTGGACCCTCATTTTTTAGAGAAAAGCATAAAACAATTATTTCTGGTTACAACTTGAATTTAGCAAAGGAATCAAGTATAAATTAGCTCTAGGAGATAAGTCCTCTGTCAGGAACCAAAGTGAAGTTTTTCATAAATGACTGTGTCCAGCTCTGTGAGCCATCTGGCAAAATATCTTCACATACACTGTTTCCCACCCTCCTGTAATTACTTGTGGAGCTCCCACGATGTGCTGAAAGCCGTGACTACTATTGTGCTGTCCAAACCATCAGGACATTTTTGCCTACTAAGAACTGATATGTCAATCTAAAAAAGGCTCTCCTTCTTCCTTATTGCTTATATCTTTAAACAGAATACAAAATGTTCTAGACTTAATTTATGAGCATTTTCTTTTGCTTAGTCCCAGTCAGCTATGGGGAGGGCTGGGAAAGTGAATTCTTACTGGTCATTTGCTTCATAAGTGATTGCTTGTGAGAGTGAACTAATGGAAAGATGCTATGGATAGAGATTTGCAACTATAATGTCACTACTTCGCTGACTCAAGATACCCAGTATATGCCATATATCATCTAAATAGGTTATGGGATCTATTGTTTTTTATAAAATAGGAACTAAACCGAGAAATTATGAATCTGGTGCAACATTACGTACCCAAGTCATCAGAAGGCCCTAAGTGTGAAGAGACAGGCATGCTGCAATTGCTTTAGTCATTAATAAACGTAAAATCTAAGTCACTAACCATAAATTATTCCCCTTTTGACCCCAAAGTGTATGTTATTCCCAAGTCAACAATACAGATTCCTATGGGCTTAATTTCAGATAGTCAAATAGTCTTCTTAACACTAATAGGACTTAAATATTTGCTGAAATAAGCTGTAGATCTGGGGCCGTAATTTGCACAGTAAGATCCTTCCAGTCAAACTGCTAGTTCTTCTTCTTATAGCACTAGAGAGGGGCTACATTAAGCTGCTGAAATCATTCACATAATTCCAAATACGTAACTGAAAGTATTTCAACAAACTGGAAGAAGTTATGCAAAGAGGTGAACC